ACCTATCATGCTGGTGTGTATTTTTTCCCTGGGCAAAGTTTTTCTGGGAGCATTGCTGTACTCTGCTCAACACCTCCTTTTTGAAGTTAATATTTATTGCAGCAGACCAAAAGCCAAGGCCATTCCTGACAGAGGCCAACCAGATGGCTATGAAAAATCCCTAAATAGGGCATAAGAAATAACCCACCTTCCAAAAAGTCTATAAAAAGTACACAGTCATTGTGATATGATAATCACAAATCTGTCTAACCCTTTTTTAAAAGCAACCTAAATCAATAACCAACAACTTAACTGTGGAACCCAATTCTGTATTTTTAGTGTAGACTGTTATTACAATATAGTAAGCCTCCTTTTCCACTGAAAGAACAGTCTATTTATTCTTGCTCTTTGCTTCTTTTATCTTTAACATATTAAGGCCCCTCTTATTTCATAACTATAACAGTTCTATACACTTTAATGTGTATTGAAATTGAAAATATTCAATGTCTACCAGGACTGGGCAGTGCCTCTGATCCAGAAGGTTGTATGAATCAGGTTTTTCTATAGTTGCTGTAATAAAGAGAAATAATGATAAAAAAAACAAATGTAGAATGTGAAAAAAGAGTGACTGGCTCAAAACTGAACTCTGGTTGCAGGAATTATGCAAAAGTAAAGCTATTCCTTCTCATTAAAAAAAGAATGGCTTTAACATTTATTGGATTTTTTAATGTAAGGTTGTATGGTTTTATCATTGTTTTATTTGATGCTTAAATTAATATTTCATTATTCAAAGGAAGTGGTGTGTGTAATTCTTGCCCAACCCTAATTCTCACGAAATCATTCATGGAGAAATCACACACATTCATTTATCATTTTAGGGAGCTACAGCATCATGAAGTTTGAGAACCCTGTTTAAGAGCTGCCATGAAATGCTAGATGTGTGTCCAGATGTGTTCCAGAGCCCCTTTGTTCTTTGGAATCCAACAAACTGCACAAGAATCCTAGCATATAAACCACATCGTTCAACATTCAAACTTATTATCACGTTAAAAACAAAAGAATCTTTACAAGGTCAGTAAGAGAAGATTTATCTTGGTAGATGACATTGACTCTTGTTCAATAAGAATTCTTCCATACACTGAAATTCGTTGCTTTGAGAACTTAATGTCTATCCTGGACAGACAAACAGTTAACAATTTCTGGGAGCTACCAATTTGTAGATTAACATACTAGGCAGTTTCCTCTTCACTCACCTTGCAAGCCTTCCAGCAGTTTGGGATAACGAACATGTTCTTCTGTTCCATGCCCAAGCCTCTGATTGTCTCCCTTTCCCCAGGAGTATACCTGTCCATCTTTTGTTAGGGCAAGTGAGAACTGACTGCCACAGCGTACTTTAACAACATCCAAGTCCTGAAGTTTTTCAATCAGCTTGGGAGTTTTGCAGCCATCACTGCCACCTCTTCCTAATTTCCCATAATCTCCATCTCCCCAAGACCATACTTGACCTGGAAAAGCAGATCTCATTAAGGGTAACACTAGTAGACAATACTTGCACTTTCAGGCAATGGAACACTATAAAATAAAGCAATATGAAAGTAGAAATAAATAATTCTGAATAGCTGTTCAAGTGACATGTTAAGATTCACAATTGTTTCCATAAAAGAAAGCAATTTTTTAAGCAACATTTCTACTATTATTTTTTTACTAGCTGAAAGGATAGTACTTCACATAGAAGTAGTCTAAGTAATTGAAAATATAATTAAGATTCTGGCTTGTTTATGTACACATTGCAAATTCTTCTAAAAATGCTTCCTGATCTTACTTTATACCATTTTATGCCCCACTACCAAAAGACTTCAGCTTGGTAGAAATGAGGGAAACACCTTTTTCTGTGCAGCATTCAAATTTTGGCCTAATCTCCCTCTTCCATTTTGAAAGCTAGATCAGTTCCTTCATTACTGTGCTTCTAAAAACAGGAAATACATTTCTATTCAAATCACCATATGCTAATTTTTAACAGCTAAGTCATGGTTTTATTCTTGGGGATGTGCTATTGTCAATACTTGTTATTCTTTAACAATTTTTATTTTACTCTTTAACAGTTTAGTATTTGTTCCTAAAACACCTAAAGCACCCTATGACCAAAAGAAATCTATAAATATTTTAATTAGGATAAAACTATTGTACAGCAGGTAAACATACAATTCAATCCAACACATAAATCCAGCCAAAAGTAGGAAAGACAGAAACATGGTTGCCCAATTATCCAGCACACCCAATCTGATGATCTCAGTAATGCTACAGATTGTGCTACTCACCATTTTCAGTTACAGCAAGAGTCTGGGCATCACTGCTCCCACAGGATACATCAATCACTTTCAATCCTTTCAGGCCAGTAACCAACACTGGGATTGTCTGGTCTTCACTGGAACCTTCCGAACAACAAAAAAAATAGTGAGAGATTTAAAATCTTGTCACCTCAAAATTCACAGAAGTAGCAACAGTGAGATCAGGCTCTCTCTGATTGTAAATGGCTTGAATCAGTGTACGGATTTCCCTTTTAAGCCTTGAAACACAAAAGACAGTGGTGCAAACTCTAAGTAGTTTTAATCCATTAAAAAACACAGAGAGAACTCTTGCCAAAAAAAAGAACGCTCTGCAATAAACAGATTTATTTTGCTTAATGGTGCCACTCAAAGCTATCCCTGTCCCCGAACACATTAACTGCAGCCCACGGCATCAGCCATCTTGCTTGCTCTTGACTCACAAGTTAAAGCAGTTTGCGGGCTACATGCAGATCCCAGAGGCCATTTTAATAGCCCCCCCATCACAAAACTTGCATTTGGCAGCAAAACTATTCACTTTCAGTGATGTGATTTGGGGGGGCAGGCAGCAAAATAAATGACTAATGCCTAAGCGTGGTTTGATGTACCCATTCCACTTTTTAAATCCACCCATCTAAAAAATGAAAAGAAATGCCTTCGCCTGTCAGAGTGCTATTGGGCACACTACCTGCAGCTCCACCAGACTGAACGATGGGAGAGGCAGAAAAGGGGGAGCTGTCAGCCCTTCGAGGCAGTCCAGACAAGAAGGGCAAACCATGGGTACTAACACTACCTTTACTGTGAGGTTACCGTAACAGATCCTTGCAAGTCTGAAAGTATTTCTCCCCTCCTTTACTTTTACTTTCCCGAAAACTAGGGAGGGTCCCTTATGAGGTACTTCCCACGCCCCTTCTGTTTGTGCAGGCTGAGAAACCTTTTGCATGATGGTTGTCTAGTCTGCAGCTCTTCCTCCTGTCTCCCAAGGTCATTCCCACATACCATGAGACATGAGAGGAACCTAATGATGCCAAAAAGGCTGCCATCCTCTGCTTTAAAGAAAATATCAGAATCATACCATGACCCAGTCTGCCATAGTTTCCTCGGCCCCATGTGTACAATTCTCCATCAGCTGTTACTGCAGCACTATAGGTGCCTCCACAGGCGATATGTACAACATGTTTTCCAGCCTGCTTCCCAGAAAGAGCAGAAATCATCTTTGGTTCTTCTAAAGGCCTGGGGGAAGGGAGTGGAGCAGGAAAGCACAAATATCAGAATTAACAGACCATATGTTATAAAAAGGCAACAGACACTATTCACCTAGTAGTAACTACAAACAAATCAAAATAGGTATTATATACTAATGCAGCCTACTATTAGAAAAACAAGCTATTCAAAGAAAACCTCAGTGTTCCTTGCATTGGATATTTTCAAGCAATAGCCACATAGACACTTGTAAAGTATGTGTTGGTTTGCATTCCTGCACTGAGCAGGGAGTTGCCTGATTGTCTAAATGGGTCCTTCCAAATCTATGATGCTATATTTATCAAACGTTTCATGCTTAATACAAAGATTTCACTGCTGCATTAGAGAGACTTCATGTACCATTCAACTGTACGGCTGCAGAAATTTATAGCAAAATGGATAGGTGCAAATGCTGTTGTTTTAGTTATAATCAGAACGACTCTAATTGAGTATCCCAAAATACATTAACTTAATGTTCTGCATAAATTAATATTCTTAATATTGAGAAAATTTCTAGCATACGTCCCAAAATTTTATATATTATGCTGGTAACGTTGATTTACTGTTCTTTATTTTCTTACATTTAATTCTGTATGAAGTTTCAAAATCGCAGATTGCAATTCTATATATTTCTCAAGCTCTCTCTGTAAAAACAGCATTCTCTTTCAGAATGGGAAACAAAAAGCTTGGAATAAAGTCATCTCCTCATCACTTATTCTTACACTCCAATATATAATCACACACTTTGGCTTACTGCCTTCCAAGCTTTTGCCTCTTCTGAACCTAATACAGATCAATGTCCATCAGAATTACAAAGCAGAAATGCAACTGCTAATTTAGCATGCTAAAAATAAAAACAGAAGCAGGAAGCTCCCCATCAATGATATGTCAACATTTTATTTCACTACTGAAATAGGAACAAGATTATCATATTAACCTGGAAAAGGCAATCCAGAGTTTAAAACAATCCCTCTAAAAAGGAAGATTAGACCGGAAAAAGATATAAATCCAGACAAAAATCATGGACACTGCTAGCTTCTCCTCCTTGCCAACCTAAGTTTGTCAACTCCAGCTGAAACCAATGAAATCAATTGTGGAGATTTCATTTCCTTCTGCAAATAATTTCTTGCTTGCTTGCTTGCTCACTTCCTTCCTTCCTTCCTTCTTCTTTCTCTTGTGTGTGTGTGTGTGTGTGTGTGTATCTACCTACCTACCTACCTACCAAAAGCCACACTCTAAAAAACAGCAAGGTTAAATTAAAAGATATGGAATTAATAACTCCTATCTAAAATTACCTATATTCATTTTAATGCATAAAATTAAATAATCCCCATGTGCATATATCAATCATTCTCTCTCACACATATGCCACTATCACCCACAGAAACACAGTAACACTCTTCCCTCCTCCTAGCAGAAACTGCAGAGAAGATGCCAATGACAGAATGGAAATGATGTAAGTAGTGTGAAGGGAGACATTACAAAAAGAGTTAACACTCAATAGGCAAGAGCAGCAATGCGCCCAACCTCTCCCAAGTTGCTGTTAAAGGCACCCATAGTTATGTCTAATATCATCTACACCTCAAGCCCATTTACAACAGATAAATTCAGTTTATTTTTTAATCTAACAATCCTTGTTTCCAGTAATTGTTGCACTGGTTCTAGTCTCAATATATGCAAGTGGGTGGAAAGCGTTTTACATTCAGGCCTATCATCACAAGCTATCTAAGATACATACACAGTATCTCCATGGCCCAGTCGCCCACCATCTCCACAACCCCAAGAGAAGACTTCTCCAGTTGCAGCCAAAGCCAGATAGTGGTGTCCATCTGAGTGTGCCGCAATCTTAACAATATTTCTAGAAGCAAGGCTCTGTACAAGTTGTGGGGTCTGGAAATAAACACACACAATTAGAACACTCTTGCAGAATGGCAGAAAAAGTAGAGTAAGAATCCTTATAGAAAGAAATTATAGAATATTCTCAAAACATATCTTCAACAACTAATTCCATAACTATTTTTCACTCAAGTGTATTTAAGATCCTAAGACTCAAACTACATTCAACATAGGAACAATGATTACATATCCTGATTTATATGTTCCAAAGGCATTAAAGCAAGGATTTCTTTTTCATTTTCTGTTCAACATCTATAGTACACAAATCTGCTGGATGAAGCCATCCCTCATCTTAGGGTCCAATCTCATCAACATGCTGAAGCAGAAGTGAAGCACCATGGAAGCTTTTTTTAAAAAAATATTTCAGTGCTTTAAATTCACTTAAATTTGCTTGAATTATTGTTAGAAGACATGAACACATGAACTGAAACAGTAAAAATATCTGAGAACAGATATATATTTTAAAGCTAAAAGAAAAGGGCAATTTCTCTACTTAGAAGCCTCAAGTTTTTATAGTAAGAATGTTATTTATTGTTATAAAAGGAAGTTAGAAAGTAAATAAAAACCACCTACCAATGTGTCACTATTGTAGGCTTGTGTATAAACACGCCCATTTTTGGACAAGATCAGAAAACGCTTCTCTGCACAAGCAATCTGTATAACTCCAAGATTGGCAAGTCCTTCACACTGAATTGGACCACTGACATTAGCGTAATATTTCCATCCTATTAATCCCCATGCTATAAACTCCTGCAAAGAAGCCTAGAAGGCAATTCATTGTTTAAAAAAGTATCAAGAATTAATCTTGAACTAGAATGCATTAGTATCTTGCATAAATGATTCCACTGCTTCAACCATTTTATCACTTAGGTTCAGATTTGCACCTACAGAGACTTCAGAAAGATAGGTAGATAAATAAACTAGAATAAGTGACAGCATATGGGACTTGGTTCATATTTGTTAGTTTGATCTAATCATTATGAGAAGAATCTAGAAGAGCAGACAGTACTCTATAACCTAGCAATTACAAAACATACAGAAAGTCAAAGCAGCATAAACAAGAAATTCAGAGAACCCACCAGACAGCACAATTAACTGCTCTTGAAACTGAGATGTACAGTGGTACCTCTAGTTATGAACGCCCCTCCTTACGACTTTTTCGAGATACGACACGCTCC